CCGAGATGTCGTACTCGACTAAGATTGCTTAAATTAAAAGTATTCAGAGCCAAAGATCAATTTTTTAGACAATGATAGCATTGTGATAGGAAAAAGAAAGTTGGCAATAGTGTAGGTGGTGAGCACAATTAATTGATTGATTACCTAATCATGCTTCAAATGCAGTGGGGTTAGTTGCCTTTCACTTTAATCAACATAAAGCTAATGAACTGACAAACATTAATTTATAATTTTAATCTAGAAGGAAGGAAAGTAATTATCCATTTAAATTTCTATTAGAGAAGCTAGTTCTGCATCTAGCGAAACTTTATCGAATTTTTTTTACATGAGGTAAGTAAAAAGGTCACGTTGATTCATATATCTCATATGACCATATTAGGAGAGTAATTATCCCGTTAAATTCGGTTCAGAATACTAGTAAGTAGTATCACTTCTCTAGTCAAGAAAGAATTTTATCGAACATTTTTTTCTACATGGTGTAAGTAACAAGATAGTGTTGGTTCATATATCTTGTTACATCTCAAATGATAATAATGCAATGCCATATGATATCATCTTGATAGAAATAGACATTATTATTTAACATATAAAAGAAAAAGAAAAGTTTATGAACGAGTAGCATGTACTGAAAATATGCTTTTTGAGCAGAGAAAGTGGAAAGGGGAGTCCAATTGGATCGAAATGATTTTTTTTATTTTCTTTTATTTTTTTGATGGGGGGATTGAAAAGTCTCTAATCGTGATTTTGATTTGAAGGATGAAAAATGGGAATATTCAATGAATGACTTTATAAAAAATGTGGATTTTGTTTAAATAAATGAGAAAACGAGTTAATAGAGAGTCAATATCAGCGCCACAAATGTGTATAATTTAATGTTGCCTAAAGATTTGTGGTTTTCAATGTGTCACAATGGTCAATTAGAGTTGGCTAACAAAACATTGTAATTGGAGAGAGAAAATTTAATGTTGCCTAAAGATTTGTCGTTTTCAATGTGTCACAATGGTCAATTAGAGTTGGCTAACAAAACATTGTAATTGGAGAGAGAGCTAGAGATATGCCAATAAGTTAAATATTCATATACTTAATAAAAAAAGGTACAGTTTTAGCGTTATTATTCTTAGTCAAATATTCATGTAATCATTGTACTCGTAATAGTATATGTTTGTGCACCGGGGAAGACAAGACTATATAACACAATAAACTAATGAATCGCGTAGCTAGCGAATAAGTATTCAATGGTCTTATTTGTATGTTCATGTCAAGTTTGCTTGTCATGTGGGTGGACAGATTCCTGCGCGCGGCATTCCCCCGTGTGCCTTACGACGGTCTGTATCGACAATCTGTATCAAATGATATTAGAGTTGGTTCTACAAGAACATAATGTACTTATTTTTTAGAGAGCTGCTTGGGGTACAGGGTGGGGGTTCACATAACCCCTACCAACACCTCACAATAGGGTGGTGGGTGGAAATTTTTGGACAATTTTTTATTATCATGGGTTCAGCATGAGGTCCACCAATGTGAGGGTAGGTAAAAGGGGAAATTACATAAAAACAGGTAGTTAAACTTTCAAATTCAAAAATCAGGTGTCAAGTTTATTTAATCAAAAATCAAGTATTAATTGGATATTTTATTAATTTATTAATACATAAAAAAATTAATTAATCTACCCCGATCCATACCATACCCTAATTTATTTTTGTCCATTTCTTCTCTCCACACTCTCTCTTCCTCCTCCTCCATTTCTCTGTACCTTCCCTCTCTCACCCGCCGCCGCCTCCTTTCTCCCTCCCCCCTCCCGTCTCCTCCCTTTCTCCCCCCCGATCTGCTGCGCGACGCAGCAGCGTGGCGACACGCTGCTGTGCGACATAGCAGCGGTGTCGCACAGCAGTGACAACAAGGTCAACGAATGTGTGTGGGTGGAGGTGGTGTCGGATGTGTGTGGGTGGAGGTGGTGTAGACACTGTTTGGAGTATTTTGGACGGATGTGTGTGGGTAGCGGATGTGTCAGATGTTTGTAGGTGGAGGTGATGTCCATGGTGCAGATCCGAATGAGGGTTTTTCGATTGGGGGTGGTTGTTTGATTCAGGCGGTACTTTGAATGAGGGGTTTTCGATTGGAGGTGGTTGGTTTGGGTACGATGGTTGGGTGTGGGTTGTTTAGTGGTGCCGGTGGTTGTTGGGAGGTTTGTGGCGGTGGTTGTGCGTCTGTTATTAATGGTGGTGGTGTTCTGAAGGTGACGGCGGTTGTTATTGATGGTGGTGGTGGGTTGTTGCGGTGGTTGAAAATGATGGTGTGGATGGCGGCGATGGGAAAGTGGTGACGACGGCAGTGAGGTGTGGGGGGTTTTGTATCCCATTTTTTGGTCGCAAGTGGCGGTGGCGACAGTATGCGACCAAATATTTGGTGTATGTGACCCTGTATGTGACCTAATATTTGGTGTGACACCATCTGTGACCTTAAAATTTTCTAATCTGTGACTAAAAAAATCCGTGACCTACCATTCGGTAATCTGTGACCTAAAAAAAAATATCTGTGACCTAATTTGGAAACTGCGACCTGACCAACTAAGTTGGAAATATGTGACTGTGTGACCTATAAATTTTGATCTGTGACCAACGAATTAATTGTGACCTGCAAAAATTTTGAGCTGTGACCGTAAGTTGTAAATCTGTGATCGGAATAGTCGCCGGAATAATCGTCGGAACGGTCGCCGGAACAATCGCCGGAGAAGAGTGGTGATCGGAATCATCGTCGGAATAGTTCCCGGAGTGGTATGGGTGCAGTATGTGGGGTGTGTTAATTATATTATATTAGAATTAAATATTTAATAATAAATTATTTAATAATTTATCATTTTCAAAAAAAAAATCTGATTTTTGAATTTTCAAACTATAAACATGATTTTTGAATTGGTGTAAATTAAACACCTTATTTATGAATTTTTCCCTAAGTAAAACTTGTCACTGTGAAAGAATGTATTGCTCGCACTTGAGCCCAAATTAATGAGTCAAAGCTCTAAGAATAGTTCTAGGCCTGGTAGTTTTGGCCCATGTGTTGTCATCTAGGATGAGTTGAAGTTGCTATTTAGATTAGCTTTATGTGTTGAGTTTGTAGGCTCTTATGATCATGACACGTGGATAATTTAGCCCTTGGGATCTGCTTCTAGAGGATTTTATGAGATAAAGGTCAAAAACTCATTCCTTTGTATACAGTGGAAAAACAATCATGTAATTATGTTAAGTTTGACATTTTTTCACGTGACAGCCATCTACACTATTAATTTTAAACATATTCATCCCATCACTGATCAAATTTCTTCTACAAAGGGAGAATGTCAAACTTGTTGTCATAAAAGAATGTAAATCTAGTTTTATTCTTGGACAAAACCTTAGCCCTTTTTGTTTTAACTAAAAATCAAAATTTTTAGTAAATTTTTATAAAAAGTTAATGAAATTTTTTATTGTAAAATTGATGAAATTTGTGTATCTCATCAAATGTATTGTTGAAAATGAGTTTCAGAAAATATGGCCAAACGGGAGTTTAATCTCTGTCAAGTTGTTCGTTGTCTTCTTTCTTTCATTTTTCTCAGTGATTTTATGTGAAGAAAGAAGGCTTCTGGTTGTATTAGTGAACACTAATAACCTAATCTCAGCGAAAGTGATGAGAAAAACAATAGCAGAAGAGGGAGAGATTTGAGTGCGTTCTTAGGGAGAACTTGTTTTGTAATCTAAACCGTTGCCTCGTATTCGAGCGTAATTTTTAATGGATGCTCAACAAAGGATTAAGTGTTAGAAACGATCATCGAATCGTAACGTTCTCGTATAATTTTCTTACAGTTTAACTTTGTGTGATGCTGATAGTGTCAATCCCAATCTCCACAGTTCCATTCAAATCAGAACAACATCGCAGCCACACCCCATTCCACACCCACCAGTAATGCTGAAAAAAGGTGAAATGACTTTTCTCTATCGGTGCAAGACTAGCACCATTTTCGAGGAGCACTAGGCTTTGAAAAAATGATAGAACTTTCCTTTTTTTTAATGTATATAAATTAAAATACATAGATAAAAATTTGTCGAAATTTGAGTAATTATGTTCTGAAATTTCGAAGTGCGAATTTCATTGTCTCACGTACTGATTTGGCTATGTGGAACCTAAGTTGAGGTCAAAATCAAGTTGTACTCTACGTGCTCTATACGTTAGAAAATACATGCCCTCGACACCATAAAATGATAAATACATGTTATTTGAACTTTGTCGCAATGTATATGGTATACATGCATTCATATTGTCACGCATGACGTTATAATATGTTTATCGAAAATTGTGTACTCGTATTCGGAGTCGATGAACTACAGAATGAAATGAAGACTTCAGATCAAGTAATATCATCCCATTCGTATCAACTTATACACAACTTTTAAATCTCGATTTTAGGGGATAAACTATATCACTTGATTTGATTATAACAATTATGAAAAGTGCAAAAGAATGTGGATCGTTGACCAAATGGAACACTTTGGTGCACAAGGAATAGAATGAACATTTTGTGTGGGTCATTGAAAGAAGCATGGAAGCTGATCAAAGTGCTTCAAAAGGCTGAATTTTCACGACTTTTTATCCTTTATAATAATTGCCTTTTGGCTCCTAAGGAGCCCATTACACCCTTTTTAAAATTCTTTGGTTATATATTTTTTTTCTACAATATTAATTAGGATAATTTATGTTTGCATGGTTGCTAGATTATGATTTCAATTGAACTGGAATCAATAGATTCATGATTGCAAATTTATATTTATTTTAATTATATGATAAAAAAAGCACATTGCTTTATAATGTTCCAAAAATTTTGTTTTCTTTTCTTCAAGAGAAGTACATGCTTTGTACAAATATAGACACCTTATTCCATGAAGTAAAAAATCACACAAATGGGTAGTATATATTTTGGTCGGTTTACCATTTTTCTTCCGTCTCGAAGATTGCCGTCTTGATTCATGACAAAGAATTAGATTCAAGAAACGTTATATTTGTGTATTATAGAGTCGGAATTTCAATTTTTATTGTAAGACTTCGAAATACTCAACTATGCCTATATTTGGGTTTTGTTAGGCTCGTCTGAGTCCTATTTTTTACATCGAAATTCATTTTTGAACAGTTACTTAACATCATTTCAATCACACATTTTTCGTTAAATAATATTACACCCAAATTCAAATTTTTTCTTATTTTTTAATCATACATTCTTCATCATAATATTATTGCAAAATGTATTTTTTGAAAAAAAAATATGGTTCACAAAAATTTACAAATACTGCTCATTTATTGTTCACACATTTTATAGAATTTATTATTTTTGTAACAATTAGATTATAAATAACTTTTAAAGAAACCCAGAGATACGATGTATTATCTCCTCGTAAGGTTATGTTTGAGCGCCATTCCTATAAGAAAAATATATTTTTGGATAGTGTATTGACGAGAAATAGGGCTCAAACAAGGGCACGGTGTCTTTATTAAAATATTTTGACCATAGAATTTTATTATTTAGATAATTCTTAGACACATCAGTCCACCTTGATGCCTGTGCCATCCCTTAATTAATTTCTGGAATCGTCCATTTTAATTAATCGCCGACTGTAGTCTGTGTCTATGTACTTTTCTATAGGGATTATATATAGGTCATTATCCTTTTGCGTTTTCGTCACATATATAACAATTTACACAATAATTTATAAATAAATAATGTAATAAAATTTAATTGAATCGAAATTTCATCAATCAAATAGTTTTTTTTCAGCTATATGTTGACACCTCATCATTATGTAAATCATTATATAAATAGTTTTATACAAGAAATATTTTCCTTTCGTATATTTAGAATATTTTTCTATTAATATTATAGTGTATTCGATATACTTGAATACACCCTCGTGCGTTCCATTTAACACGATGTAAATTACTCTGAGACATGAATTGGTTCTATAACACATAATATTCCAAGATAAAACTAGGCTCCTATGAAGAAATAATACAACAAAAATTTTCTTGAACTACACTTTCAAGTTTTAACAACCCGTTTCAATAAGAAATCTAAATGATTTTAATCAATTCATTGACTTATCGAAAAGTAAAAACTTTTCTCCGAAAAAGTATAGCTGATAGGAGAAATGCAATCAAGTTCAGAAATTCCTCTCAAACACTATTTATTCGAGCATTTACTTCAAATTACTCATCACGAAATAGGGACACCTTCATGTTCCCAATATGCTCGAATCATTCTTCCTTAAAGAATCGAACACAAAACTTTTTAACTCTAATATCAATTAATGTAGGAAGATGCAATCATTTTTCTCGAAAGTTATAACTGATAGAAGTGACACAATTAAAACATATATATCTCACTCCACCCACACACACACACCTTTATAAAAATGATTATTCTTCTTGTACATTGGGGTGTACATAAGGGTGTCGGCACCTCTCTATTGGATGGAGTGTCGATCCCACTGATACTCCATCCAATAAAAAGATGTCGGGTATTTATTATGGACATCGTTATGTACACCTTTACGTACTTGTAGGAAAGCCCTTACAAAAATTTCACTTCTCTTTTCCCTCAATTAATTGTCACCCTAGAAAGAGAGAGTATACAATATACATAAAATCATTGTACTTTAAGTTGACTTCCTGCAAAGCAAAGTGCACATTTATACGTACTTGGATTTTCCATCAGCCACAGTTATGGACCTCAACTGAAAACTTGCTTTCTAACATAAACACTACAACTACTACTTTAACCCTTCAACCTTACAAAAAGTTACACAAAAAAGAAGGAAGAAATGCTTGAAACTTTTAAGTACCTAATCGGCTCCGCCGGCCCGAGTGGGTTCGGCTCCAAGTCCACCGCCGACCAAGTCACCGACCACTGTCCTGATCTTCGCTCCATCACGGCCATCATCACAGGTGAAGATTTTCTTCAGAAATAATCGACAAGAGCAAAATGGAATCTAAAAATGCTTTTTTCTTGAATAGGTGCCACCTCTGGGATTGGAGCTGAGACGGCTAAGGTGCTGGCTAAGCGCGGAGCACGACTTGTCTTGCCGGCAAGGGACCTTAAAGCCGCCGAGGATACTAAGGCTCGCATTGTTTCGGAGTTTCCACAGTCAGAAGTTATCATTATGGCTCTTGATCTTAGCTCTCTCGACTCTGTACGAAGATTTGCATTCGAGTTTGAGTCTCTCAATTTGCCTCTCAATCTCCTCATGTAACCGTCAATTCACCCCTTTTCACATAATTTCTGTTTGATATAAATTATAATCTATATTTTTATTAAAGTCAAATTTAATCATTAATTTTAATTACGTATTTCAAGGTCCCGCTACTTTTCATCTACACATTTCATCGTTTTTTTTATCAAAATCTGCTAAAAATTCATGCCTAAATTCCGGTTTATGCATGCTAGTTTTATATGAGTAATGTGTGTTTTATATCAGAAACAATGCCGGAAAATTCTCGTACAATCACGGCATTACTGAGGATGGGATTGAAATGAGTTTTGCTACTAATTATCTAGGTAAATGTTTTTTTCCTAATTTTAACATATAAACATTGTATGTATTAAATTACATTAATGTATTCTCTATGTCCATTAATTAGGTCATTTTCTGTTGACGAAGTTATTGCTGAGTAGTATGATCAAAACGGCAAAAACAACTGGCTTTCAAGGAAGAATCGTGAATGTGTCGTCGAATATTCATACCTGGATTTCTGGGGATTTTATTAGTTATCTTTGTTCCATAACAAAGAATAAATGGTGAGTTCAGTCACCTAATTATTTTTGAAAAATTAATAAATGTAACGGCATTAATTAGAAAAACCAGTAAGGCTATTCATTTTCAGTGGACCCCAGCCTATCTGACAATTACATGACAGCCCATGATACATTCATTTAAATATAAAGTCACATAATTCATTTAATTGAATCTATTATTTGATGTCACGTCATTGCCACGTAGACCGTCCTCATCCAGTGATGAATAGTATTATTCAAAATAAACTGGTTAACGTTTGACTTTATTGTGAATATATGTTTTGTTTGAAAGTGAATACGATGGGACACGTGCTTACGCTCTGTCGAAGTTGGCTAACGTTTTACATACCAAGGAACTTGCCTACAGACTTCAGGCAAGATTATTCATTTTTTTTTCCTTCCAAATTTAAAATATTATTAATGAGAAAAGTGGATTTTTATATCTTTCTGAATAGTTGTTATTTTCTTAATTCCGTCGAGTAATTGTTGTAGCATGTTAGTTTTTCTATAATATATCGGTGCAGGAAATGGACGCAAACGTGACGGTAAATTGTGTTCATCCCGGGGTGGCAAGAACTAGACTCACTAGAGATCGCGAAGGCTTCATTACTGGTGAATACGCGCATACATATCTTCTATATGTATAAATATAGCTTTTGCATACATTGTGAAAGTAAAATTGAAACTTGCGATGCGCAGATCTTGTGTTCTTCTTGGCTTCAAAATTTTTGAAGACGATTCCTCAGGTAACATCTCTTGTTTTCGTAACTTATTGACATTCGTATATCATGTAAAGGGATAAATTTATTTATTTTTAATTATGTCATTTAGGCGGCTGCTACGACTTGCTATGTAGCAACCCATCCAAGACTCGTAAATGTGAGTGGAAAATACTTTTCTGATTGTAACGAAGCTTTAACCTCCAAGCTAGGATCCAATACAACCGAGGCTGCAAGGTTATGGATAGCATCGGAAATCATGGTTAATTTCAAGGGCATTAAAGACACTTTATCCCTTGGATTAAGCCATATTAATCAAAATAAATGAACAATATATATATGTATACATTCATACATAGTTTTAGCAAAGATAAATTTATACATATATATTATAATGTAACGAATAGTCGGTAAACTACAAAGTTTCTACTAGTACGAGGTATTTGTGTATGTAATAATAAGTATGGTTGTGTTCGATATTTTAAGACTGAATATATTTATTTACGAGACTGGTCTCCTAGTTTTATTCTTAAGAATCTTCAAATAATTATTGTTATTTTAGATGATTACGCGATTTTGACAACCAATTATCGTTGACTAGAAGATTAGATCATAATAAAATAATGTAGTATAATTGATTTTTGGGTATAATAAAAAAAAAAATATGACCTAAGATGCCCTAATTAACTATTTATTTCGTTCATGATTTTGAAAAAGAAAAAATATATTAATGGAATCAATATTCAATAACATGGTGTTTGATCACTACGTAGTATGTACCATGTGGGTGTCCAATTTTTTTCTTTACGAGGGCCCACTAACATGGATTAGGTTTTAGTCAAGGGTTTTTATTTGATTATTGTAGGCAAATTACGTGTCAAACGTTAGAAGGAAAAAAAAAATCTTCTTTTGAAATAAAAAATATTTTTTAATGTGAGGCGATCATCATTATTTATCTCACTTACTAAATATGGGTATTGATTTTTCAATTAGCCGCTACTTTCTTACATTTTTAATTACATATAGTTACATTGTTTCGTCTCGAACTAATGTAACTCTATCCATATTTATACTAAGCTTCCGTTTGACACCTATTTTGTTTGAAAAATAATTTTTGGAATAGTGATTAATGGAAGATTGTGTGGTTAAAAAGTAAAGAAAATTTTTAGGTTTATGTGTAATATTATTTTATTAATAGAATATGTGGTTGAAATGAAGAATGAGAAAAAAAAAATGGGTGTTAAACATGGGCTAATTTTGGTAGACCTCCGAAGAACGTGAAGGATAAACAAACATTTAAAATCAATTAGAGAACACAGGGAAGAAAAATTAAGTGGAGATTAGGGGATTTGGGCTTTCTAAATAACTAATTAATTTGTCAATTTATTAAGAGGAAACTACACCTAGACCTGGTTTTAGATTACCATTTTCATAAATCTTGAATCAAGTTTTATATTGCAAAAATCAAGTTTTAATTAATAATTTAAAAACTTTTATTTTTATATAATTATATCAAACCCTAAACTAATATGAAGAAACTACCAAATTCTCCTGTCATCCCGTCTCTGTCTTCTCTCCTCCCTCTCAGTCTTTTCTTCTCGTGATGTCTTCTCTCTTCTCCTGTGATGCTGAAACGCAAATCCATTTTCATTTGTGTCTGTTCTTTCTTTTTGTTTTTAAATTTTTGAGTGGTGCGGTGGTGCTATGCGATGGTGGTGGTCTTTGTGTTGATGTGGGTGAGGGTCCGGTGTTGTGGGTGTGTGTGCCTACGGTTGGGTGCGTGTGCGGGATGCGGCGGCGGTTGGGTTTGTGTTGGGTGCGGCGGTGGTGGAGGTGCAGATCTATTTGTTTTTTGTTCTGTTTGAGCGGTTCGGTGGTGGTGGAGGTATGGAGTGCGGTTACAGTGCGATGATTTTGTGTGTGTGTGCGCGTGTGTGCGTGCGGCGGTGGTGGTGGTCGAAAACGATGCGGTGCCGTGGTGTTGGCGGTGGATCGGGCGCTGCGAATTGTGGATCTAAGTTGGTGGCGACGATGGTTGTTTTTGTACGTTGTCCGCTTGTTTTGGGGTTGTGTTCTGTTGTGCGTGTGGATCTGTGTGCTCTATGTATGATTTGTGTGTTCTGCGGTACGTATGGCGGTGGTGGTTTTGGGGTGGTGATAGTGGTGTTGGGGAGGGTGTGGTGTTGGTTTTGAGATGTTGATGTTGCTATTGGGCAGCGACGATGGCACCATTGGTGGAGGCAGTGGCAAATTGGTGGTCACAAATGATTTGGTTGATTGTGATCAATAATTTGATTGTTGTGTGACCAATAAACAATATGTGACCAATGAATTAGATAAACTGTGATCAATACATGCTGTGTGACCTAAAAATTATTAAATTGTGACCAATAATTTGATAAATTATGACCTAAATATAATTTATGTTCAATTAATGTGATGTATGTAACCATAAAATAATTAGTCTTATAATTTTGTGATTTGTGACCGATGAACAAATGCGACTTATGAAAATGTTGAATTGTCAATAAATTGTATAGATCTGTGGCCTTAATATATTCGTCGGAATAGGGACAGTCAGCGGAATAAAGTGGTGACGGAACGGTCATCTGAATAGTTGACAGAATCGGAGCAGTTACCGGAACAGTCGTCGAAAAAGAGTTGTCATCGGAACAGTAGCCGGAATAGTCCTAGGAACGGTAACAGAGGTGGGGGTGGGGTAATTATGTTATATTAGAATTAAATATGTAATAATAAATTGATTTAATAATTTATTATTTCATAAATAAAAATTTAAAAAATTTGATTTTTGAAATTTGGAACTTGTTTTTGTATTTTTGAAATGGTGTAAAGCAAAAACTTGAGATATGTATTGTTGCCATTTATTAATGCAACAAAAATCGAAATATTCCGTGTTTAGCCAGCGTTACACATTTTAGGAGAACGGGCTTGAGGAAATGGTGGACCAATTTAACTAATTTGGGCCCAAAATGTTGACACGAAGGTACAACCTTAAATGCTAAATGTACAGATTAGTTTGCATATATGTTGAATAATGACTAGGAATTCTACCTTAAAAGAGTTGCTACACTTCTACCATAATAATTATTCTGAGTGCAAGATGGACCAACTTCACAATTATTTTTTTCTTTTTCGTTTTCCCAATATCCAAAAGATTCTCTAGAGTGAAAATTACACATACACCTACTTTTTAACTTATCATTTCAAAGATAAGGTGCAAGATTTTTTCTTTAAAAAAAATCAGGTATATCCCATTCTCTCCATTATCCATTCTCCAAGTCACAATCATAACCACACCCCCCAAACCTGTTGGGAATTTACTTAACATGCACAACGAAAAATAAAAATAATTTTTAATTCCCACCAAGAATTTGCATTGTGTTTAAATAGAAATTGTGATAAGAATTATACCATTGATGAATTTTGCAAACTCATTTGCTGATTTTCGAACTCAAATGATCACGATCGGCAATCCAAACTGTCCAATTGTCCAGCCTCCAATGATGATTCATACAGAGAACAAGAATGACGACTAAGATTTTCTTTTCTTTTGCTAGTAAGAATAATGAATTATTTCATACAGTTTTCAAATCCTAGCAGCCTATTAATATAAGCAAGCGGGCTTGACCCGTCTCTTAAATTTAACCCGGTCCAATATTTAATTAATCAAATTAATTAAATTTGGTTCATGAATTAATTAATCCAATTAATTAATTTAGGCATATTAATAAACAATTCAATTAATTAATTATCCAACACTTGCTAATTAATTAATTGGTGAATATTATTCTTCTAGTTCTCTTTTGCGTGTGACCCATTAGATTCTCAATCACGATACCTAACGTCGTGAATTATTATTTTGATATAATCAAAATCGATAAATTCAAACACCCCTTTTAATTTATCATTAATTCACATTCGTCGTCTTAAATTGACATCTAGCAATGTGTCGGGCATTACATGTAGCAGGAAATGTCATGTGGTGTGACAAAACCAAACTTGTTTATTTACCGTAAAATTATAATCTTTTTGTCAATATGATCCGATCAATAATGAGATATGGATATTGTGTCAATCTCAATTATCGATCATATCTTTTATCCCACTGTTAAGTCAATATAAGTCGAAAACTCATTTTCGGCTTATGAGTTCACCTTGACCAATGATTTTATTATTAACTTAACTGAATAAAATGTATATCATAATCTCTTATTATCTAAGATTGACGAATCCTCTATTGATCATTCACAAGTTTCATATGATTTTTGACATATCCGAATAATGTTGTATTAGCGACCTCTGGCAGAGAAATATCCAACATCATCAAAATATGACTATCCTCATATAAGGAACTATGATGGCTTCAAGTCAAATGATCAATTCCACAACCAAACGTTAAAGATTAACCACTGACACTTAAATAGTTATCCATGTGGAATCTCCCAGCGGGTTTTCAATGTTTTGTTCTATAACAAAACATCTACGTGTTCATTTAAATGTCACCACACTTTATCTTGTGAGATCAGCTACTCACTTCACAAGTAAAAAATGTCGCACGTGATGGTCTATCCGTAATAACGATACCCGTATCTCGTTATTACATGTGACCACAGGCAATTTAAGATTTAGTCATATGACTCATATGTAATTTGTATTTCACGATCACAACTCCCTGTGATTAACAAATCACTAAGACTTGAATATTAGGNTTCAGCCACATGTAATTTGTATCTCACAATTATAATTCCTTGTGATTAACAAATCACTAAGACTTGAATCTACGGATTCTATTATTTAATTTATTAGAATATTAATTTAATTAAATAATAGATATTGCCATAAATACGCATCGATTATATTTATTAAAAGTGTTTATGTCAAAAATTGATTGGATTTAGAACATAACACTTACACAACCATCGTTCACCACCACCGCTCGCCATCCTCACCACGCCTCTACCTTCACCGTTCAGTCGCTACCACGTAAGCAGTGTCGTGACGACGCTTACGGTTGCTCCTTCGGTGACGACGGTCCAATTATAAATGGCAGTGGCTGAAGTAGAGTCTATGGTATATCATATCAATTACTAGTGATGGAAAGAACAAATCCGATGCTTGTCGGATTGGAAATGTTATTGGAGTCGGAATTGCACTGGGATCTGTTGGTGGAGGGATGAATGGTAAATGGTAATTCAGGTGGAATTGGCGGTGGTTCAAGTAGATCTTGTGGTTGTTTGAATATAGGAAAAAGTGATGGCTCTAATGTAGATTCATCTGGTGGCGGGAGAAAGACTTGTGATGACTCTTGTAGTGGTGCTGGTATTAGGAAAAGAGGTGGCTCTGACTTAGATTCATTTGGTGGGGGAGGAAGACTTGTGGTGACTTTGTTGGTGCTGTGACTATTGGGAAAGACGTGGCTCCAGCATAGATTCTTCGGTAGTGGGGAAAAAATGGGGATTGACTGGCGCTGGAGTTTCTTCAAATGGTGGAAGCTCTAGCTGAAGTGGTGGTGGAAGAAGAAAGTCAGATATTTGTGAAGGAGAAAATATCAACAATTCTGGAAAATTTGAGTTTGAATCGGGAGGCAATAAAAATGGAAAGACTCGTTGGTGAAGTGGTGGTTGAGTTATGATGGAGTGGGATGAAGAGCGTTGGTAACAAATTATTTGGGCAATTGTGACCAATAAAATGATTAATTTGTAGTCAATAAATAATATGTGACTGATAAAATAAATAATATATGACATAAAGAAATGTGAGATTGCGACTAAATTTATAATTATGACCCACAATTTGTTAAGTTGTGATCAATTAATTTGGTAATTTTTTACTATGAAATAAGTTGTGATCTATAAAATTTGTGATTTATGACAAAAAATAATGCATGGCATATTAATTTGTTATTGATAATTTGTGACATAAAATTTGTGATTTGTAATCAATGAATAATATGTGACTTATTAATTTTATAGATTTATGACCAATGAATAAATTGTGACGTATAAATTTTTATTTGTGATCGATGAACAAATTGTGACTTATAAAATTTTTAAACTGTGACATATAAAATTGAGATTTGTGATCTATTAATAATATGCGTTCAATTATATGGAATTTGTGATAAAATTATATGAAATTGTGACCTTAATATATTTGATTAATAAAATATATGTTTAATTAATTAATTTATAAATAAAATTTGAAAAAGTCTGATATTTGAAAATTTAAACCTTATCTCTTAAGTTTGAAATTATGAAAACTTATATGTAATCTTCCCAAATACAAGTATGGTTTGATCTAATTGATCCAACCCTTGCCCAGCTCCTCAGCCCGAAATGGAAATAGCCCAATTAACTAGTTCAACTATTCCTAAATCCCCAATCTATTTTTAGATCTCTTTTTGTATTACATATGTTTGTTTTTGCTTATTCTTTTTTTTTTATTTTTTGAACTCTTTTTTTTTTATTTGATGGTTTTGAAGAATTTAATCTTACAATAGTTAGTCTTTATGTATATTTAATTTTTTTAAGGGGTATAATTAATTTTGAAAAGGGTTGTCTTTTTCTTTTTATTATTATTATTTATACTATTTAATTTCGTATAATAATAGAAAAAAATAAAATCAAGGAATTTGTAAAATTTTTAAGCCCCTTTTCATTAAACTTATGTTATTATTTGTTAATTAGTTTTCGAATTTTCTAATTTTCATGGTAAAAAATGATGCAAGTAGCTTCCCAAATTTCACACAAAGTGTCTCTGTCTTATGCCTTTTATTGTTAGGATTGCATAAAAAAAGAAGTTGTAATTTTATTTTTTGGAAGTAGAAGGTTGAAATTTTTATCTTAACAAAAAAGATGAAATAATTTTTTTTCGATTTATTAGTTACAACGTTGCTATTTGCTTAATTTATTGCATTTTTATTTCCAACCTTTACATTTTTAAAGTCTCTATTTTTATTGTGTTATTGTTAATCTTTAAATTCATCTGTATTGCTGTCAATATTCTAACTTTAAAAATGTAAAGGTTGATGGTTTATTTTCGTTATTTAAAAATATATGTCAATTTAGTGAAATAACATTTCTTAATGAATTGATAAAAAAATCAACATTCAATTCCTACTGTGCATCTTCCTCCAATTTATCTCCGAAAATCGAATATTTTTTTAACTACCGTCAACTAAATTTCTAGATCTACCCGTAGGGCCAAGTAAACACCCACATCATCATGGGACATCCCACAATGTTCTACGAACCTTTGCATAACTCACTCGAATAGTGGGTCAAGCTGAGCTTCGGCTCGCGAGCTCGTCATTTTTTTTATATTTAAAGATAAACCTTTTTTTTTAAACAAAAAGGATAAATCCTCCGCCTCGGCTTGTGCTCGTTATTTGACGAGCCCAAGCCGCCCACGAACCGACTTTTCAAGAGTCGATTGACCGCTCGGCTAGTTTGTCACCACTATCTCTGAGAGGATTTGCTCCCCCAACGAGCGATATGCTCCCACTAGAAGTACGACAAATGGTGAACTACTTTGCCATTAGAAAGCTAATAGAAAGCAAGCTAAGTGCAAAACACGTTATTTCATAATGATTGTCTAAAACTAGAATATCACATTGCCACGTGGCGAAAGGATCATTATAAAATAAGCTAAAAAAAGAACCATGCTGTGTACCATGTCCGCCTATTTTGTCCAAAACAAAATCAAGCAAGAATCAAGTGATTGAAAACAACCTCGCAAATTAGAAAGAACGCGTATTTTATAGGCGACGGAATTCAAAATCAGCCACAAATTTGTCCATAAGCTTCCAAAGGTCCAGTTTACCCTTAACCTAACATTACCCGTAAGGGACAATGCTACACTTACCTAAATTTTGGAATTTTTATATTCACATAGGGCCCGCGTGCATTGTGAGAGTAGGGACAACTTTCGATACAAATGTTTAAGTACAAATAGAATAATTCTACCCGTAAAGTGCACCATGTAACATGAGGAAAGGGATATTAATCATGTTGGATAAATTGATGTTCGACAATTAACTTTTTACGTGCAAAAAATTGTATAAAGTTTCGATTTAACGGAATCAAGATATGCATATGAACATATGCACAAATTGTTACTTACCGAAACGTACAAATTAAAAAGGGATGAAATCAATCGAGGAAAGCGAAAAAGACAGTTTCGCCCCTCCACTGATGTTAATAGGATCAAATGAACATTCATTTCTTAAGTTATAACGCTTCTTCAAAGATTAATGTAGCACACTATTAATTTTGTCGCACGAACCAAAATTGTTTGGATGAAATTATATTTCTGAAAATAAATCAAATGGAATTTAGTTTCAGCAAAATAAAAAGCAAATTAAACCCACCCATAGCCTAAATCTATGACCAAATTGTTTCTCCAACACTCTTATTATATTTTTTGGCTCTAATTTGGCTATCGGAGTGCTCACTATGATTATACCAACTTCTTGGATGGCTGACAGTGATCACACAAATCAATCACTCAAACTTGGACCCTCCAAATAAATACGAATTGAGAAGGAAAGCGACTTACTTTGGCTATATTTCCACGATAACAGGTTTTACACCACCTCTAAGACCATCTCCTATGGGATAGCAAATTTGGTATAAAATGCTCTCCAATGGTATGACAAACATGATGTAAAATTTGTTGCGTAAATTAGAAATCATTTTATGTTTAAAGAGTTTTTTGGAGATACTCTAACTGAGCAAGAGCTTGGATGCAAATTCAAGCTGCTGTTGGACTGATAGCAAACAAACCTGGAGCAAGCCTTTTGCTCATTTCGTTATTTGCAACGCTAAACCTAATCCCAATGTCATTTCAATTTCAACAAATCCAACGAGCCCTTGATTGCGCTCCGTTTTAATGAAAATTGGAGGAAATAATCAGTTTTGGAATTGTGATATTTTTGGATAATGTGTAGTAAAAAATAAGAAAAAGTTTTCGAATTACGTGTAATATTTTTATGGAATATGTAATTGAACATGTATTTTGCGGCTAAATTTGCAATTGTTACAAAAACGTTTAGTTATTTACAAATGATTATTTTATTGGCGGCTCTAGTAAAAATTGTCGAGGGTGTCTTTTTGAAAATAATATTAAAAAAAACATAAGCTTAATCATTGACGAAAATTACCACATTTATGCGTCTTCAATACACTTTCCAGCATTAGTGTGTAGCAAGCTCGAAATTACAATTGGTTTTTTTTTACTCTCTCTTTAGTCCTATGTCTCTTATTCCGAGGTGGTCTTCCTCCACTAGCAGATTTTTTAAAGTATTAATCATACATCATAGTCTAGGCGGGAATAGACAAGGACTATTAAAAATAGGTTTAAATTTTTTTTTTTTTTTTTGTTTGAAACGTGGATTTCGACATGTCTAGGCGACAACACAAAAGCTCCAGAGACTAGCAGGTTTGGAAACGGTTGGCCGGGTCAAGGTGTCGACACTTTGAATACGGGTGTTGATACCTAATAAATGAAAAAATTGCTCATTAAATTTTGTTTGAATATTGGTGTTGACACTTCCCAATAGGTTTAACAAGTTGAAAATTTTGTGGTGAGTGTCGACCCTTGACCCTCAAGTGTCGACACTACAGTGGAATATTCCAGTTTATTCTGTAAAAGCAGTAGAGATTGTGGTATGGAACAAAGTAACTTTACATGTCGTCATCGAGTTTCCACACTAACGATAAATTTTCTTTCTTTCTCGGAAGAAATGTGAGAGTGATTGGTTATTAAAATATTTTGTAAAAATCATAGGGTTCTTCGCGACGTTCACGTAGCTTAACCTTTGATCGTATGGGACCTTTGACTGCAAAAGAGGAAATATATTCACGAGTACAGTAAATGCATTTCACGTAATGAAATATTTTATTGTGACCATGTGACATTTATTATTTAAAATCAAAATTATTAATGGAATGGAAGAATTGCTTAAACTTAAAATAAATATCTAAATACATAACATTGATAACTCGAACGATACAATTTTTATATTTAAATGTTTTGAGTATATTGGTGATTGAAATGAAACAGGCCCGATCTCCTGTTTTCGGTGCGATGAACTCGTCACGTCAGTAGTGAAATTTTTATATTCTAATCATTGGAGCAAGAAATCAATTCTTTTCCTATGGTTTTGCACTTGTACTAGAAATCCACCACCATTGCATCATATGAAAAGATTCTTATTAAAAAATTATGTCAAAGGACCAAGTTGAGGATTTCAATTCAAAAATCAGTTCTGCGTGATGTAAGTTTGATAGCATTTTTTACATTGGATGAGACAACACATTTAATGGGTGTTTGGTGCATATTCAAATTAGATTTTTAGTAAATTGTGATAGAAATTTTTGAAATGTATGATTAAAAGTTA